TAATAAATTATTCATTCTGCATACTTATGTAATTATTGGAAAAGTCGGGAAGAGGGCGGCAGCGGCAAAATTCAAATTTGGATTGAATAATACTTGGAAATTTAACGAATACTAATGAATAATCTTGAATATCAGTGAATATCAAGTGATAAGTGTCTTACTGAATACTAATTTTTGTTTGACCCTTGAATATCGCGAACCCCTCGGTGCGACCTCCTCCCCCTCCGGACCGATAGCGAGCGCCGCTCGCTCCACGGCATTCCATGATACGCACGGAATCGAAACTAGGTCACGACGCAGAGTGTCCAAGTGCACCTTCCTCGCCGCTGAACCGATCAACAGAGCAGACTCTCGGCGCAATGCGAGGAGCGGCCGGGCCAGGGAGGCGCGCACTGTTTATTGAAAAACAATGACCCGAGGGCCCGAGGGGGCGACACGGATTATTCGCAGATGAATGTCCTACTTTTGCGGACGGACGAAAGGAAGCGCCAAATCGACAGCCGCCCGTCTCCGAGATTGCTCTCAATCCGCGTTGTACCGGGGGGATTGGGGGGGGGGGGGGTCTCACCCGTAGCCTATTGTGCGCCCTGCTCAGTGTGCCGCCGCCCCAGACCACCCACACCCGCCCTTTGCTCCTCTCCGTTTATCCCGTTCACAATACTTCAAAGAGAGGCTTTTGGGTTACCTGGTAGTACAACCTACCGTCACGCGACCGGCCGCGGGAGGATGGTATAGATAGTAGTACACCCGAGTACACCGGCCTGGCACCGGCTGATCAGGGAGAGGGGAGGAGGGAGGGCACCGACGCGTGACCGGCGGCGGCCGGGGGGGGGGGTGAGGACGTCCGGTGCTGCACCGCTCAGGGGGCGGCTGGGCCCGCCCGCCCGTCCCCGCCGCGTCACTGGGAGAAAATCTGCAAGATATGCGCAGGGTCCCCGGGAAAATTCATAGCGTGCGGCCACGTATCGCCGACGCCGACGCCTGCAGTCGTGAGCGGCGCGCCTTGAGTCGCCACGAGGCACACTTATTCGGGGAAGATAAAAGAGTAAAATAAAAAGTTTAGCGGGAGCAGCTGGCTCCACACACCGGGCCGCCAACGCGGGCAGGCTGGCTCGCTAAAGGTCAGACCCGGCACCCTGACACGACACCCGCGACGGTGGCTGACCTCAACCATGGCCCGGACACCACGCAGAGGCCCCTCATCGCAGGGTGAAGTCATCAAACGTCAAGAGCGTTTCACCCCCCTTTGGAAACTTATTTCCCACCCTTTCCTTTCCGCTTTCCCTCCTCCGCCCAGCCTGCTTTACGAGCATTGCTTTTGAAAGGGCACACACATTGACGAGAGGTCTCTTTCACGGTCTTATATCACCCTCGCAAAGTGCCCAGCCCCAGACGTTCTCGGGACCGTGTTCCAACATTTTCCGGAAATTCGCGGGAATATTTCCGTAACTTTTCCCGGAAAATGTTGAAACACGGTCGGTCAGGTCGGTACACAACATGGTCGGCGGGCGGGCGGCGCGCGCCCCGCGGTGCCATACTCGTGCTCAAGTAGGGCATATTACCGAGCCGGCGGGCGGTGGTGCGTCTTAGTTAGGGGACTGCTTGAGCAGCTCGCCGAGGGGGCGCAGTGGGCCAAAAACACACACACACACACACACACACACACACATACATACACGGCGGGGACCTCCCCCCCCCC